ATGTCGTTTCGGACAAACTAAACTAGAATTTTTAGGACACGAGATTAGTACCGACGGCGTCAGGCCGTTGCAAGATAAGGTTCAGGCAATTGTGGAATTTTCGAAGCCGAAAACTGTCGCAGAACTAAGACGTTTTCTCGGTATGGTCAATTTTTATCGAGCTCATCTTCCCAACGCAACTTTATATCTAACAGAATTAAATAAATATCTTAAAAGCTCAAAGAAAAATGATAAGACTCCCATCGTCTGGACGGATAGTGCGAACGAAGCATTTACGCAATGTAAGGCAGATCTCACACAGGCCGCTACATTGACGTACCCTAGAGTGGGTTCCGCACTCGCTTTAATGACCGATGCATCTAATACATGCGTGGGAGCAGTCTTGCAACAAAAGGAAGGAGATAGCTGGAAACCATTGGGCTATTTCTCAAAAAAAATTGACCACCACCCAACAGCGATATAGCACATACGATCGCGAGTTGCTCGCTATATACTTAGCTATAAAACATTTTCGGAAATTATTTGAAGGGCAAGAAATAACCGTGTATACGGACCATAAACCTTTAACTTTTGCATTTCAAAAGGTAGGACGCGATGAAAGCGAAACGCCTCGGAGAACGAGACATTTAGCTTTCATAAGTGAGTTCACTACAAATATAAGACATATAACCGGTACGAATAACATCGTAGCTGACACCTTATCGCGCATCGAAGCCGTGACTATGCCAACTGCGTTGAATTTCGATGACATTGCAAATGAGCAGCGTAGCGACAGTTATATCATGAATGTTATGTCTGGTTTAAATACCGATAATATTTTGTTAAAGGAACTAGTTATACCTATGTTAAATAAGTCTATTTTTTTGTGAGATGTCTACTGATACAGCTCGTCCGTACCTACCGGAAAAGTTTCGACGCCTAGCTTTTGATAGTTTACATAATTTGAGCCATCCTGGAATTCGTTCTACGCGAAAGATGTTAGCCAAAAAGTATTTCTGGCCTAGTATGAATCGTGATGTTTCTTTGTGGGCAAAAACGTGCATACAATGTCAACGTTCTAAAGTTAACAGACATACGGTATCGAATCTGACTAAGTTTCCGGAAGTAGAGCGTTTTGAGCATGTGCACGTCGATATCGTTGGCCCTCTTGAGATCTCACCAGATGGTTATAGATACTTACTCACGATAATTGATAGGAGGACCAGGTGGCCTGAAGCTTTTCCGTTACGAGACATTACGGCAGAAACTGTTGCCAAACATTTATATGAAGGTTGGATTTGTCGTTACGGTTGCCCGATAAAGTTAACTAGCGACCAAGGTCGCCAGTTTGAGAGTAGTCTTTTTAACCAGCTGTTAAAAATGTTGGGGGTTAATAGAATTCGAACTACTCCTTATCATCCGCAAAGCAATGGCGCAGTTGAACGTTGGCATCGTTCTTTAAAAACAGCACTTTCAGCTCGCCTGTCACATGGGTCCTGGGTGGAAGAGCTACCCACAGTATTACTTGGGCTTCGCGCGGCCGCCCGCAGTGACTCAGGGGTTAGCGCCGCCGAGTTAACGTTCGGACGAAACTTACGTCTACCGGGAGACTTTTATGACGGCTCTTCGAACAACCGTAACGTCAATGATTATTGTTTAGTGGATAAGATTAGAGATACTATTCGTAGTTATAAGCCTACATCCGACGATTCACGTAACTGTCATAGTTTTTTTGTGCACAAGGACTTACGTAACTGTGAATATGTCTTTGTTAGGGACGATTCAATACGTAAACCTTTGAAACCACCCTACGACGGTCCATACCGCGTGATAAAAAGGGGGGCTCAAAAGTTTACCTAATTCAATTACCCGATAGACAGGTACATATTTCTATCGACAGATTAAAGCCTGCATATGTATTAAAGGAATGTGATGGTAACGAAGCAACGCCACGCCAAAGTAACGCTGACAACGCAGCGGATGTGGCACCTGCGCATGTACGGTTTCCGTTACCACCGTCCACACCGCTGACGTCGTTGTTACCCGGCCCGAGCAACCCGATAACCGTGAAAACAACGCGAAGTGGTCGGATTGTTAAGTTACCTTCACGATTTATAAGCTAGTGTTAATATAAAATATATATTATACAATTACATGTCTAAATGATAATCAGGTTTAGTTACTATGGATGTGAAAGTATTATTTGCATTGTCAAGTGCATAATATTTTCATTCAGGATATTCAAGTTACATTATTTAAGTTGAATGTAATTGTAGAGGTATCGTGTTCAGTATTTTGCGTATACTGCACTTTCATATAGGTTCCAGGTAGCTAGTTTAGTTATAATGTATTTAATATAATTTCATTCGAAATACTTCCTTTGCGATAGCATTAGCGCGATAAGTTTTACGATTTTTACTATGGGTAATTTTCAAGAAAAACCAGTTATTGTTTCTCAGGCTCAAAATACTGTAGAGAATAAAGTGGATAATTTTCAAACATGGTTATATGTGATAGCCAGTTTTATGGGGGCGATAATCCTGTACACTATTTGGGTAAAGTTTAATAAGAAGTTCAAAAGCTGGCTTCGTCATCAGGTGTTAATGACAGGCGTTCCGATATCGGGCCAGAATATGGGTCAGATGATAGGTGCTTCTAGCACCGCGAAAGGGGTGGCGGCCGCGCCCGCCGCGGCCGCCACCCCTTTCGCGGGGGTCTCCGTACAGCCCTGCGCACAAGCGCATTAGCAAGTTTTTGTTGTTAGTTTTAAGTTTATATTCATTGTATAGTTTTAAGTTTTTTGTATTCATTTTTTTGTAAAGGGGGGAAGTATTGTACACACACATGTAAACTTCGCAATGTTGTATTGTAACTATATTATGTAGTGAATAAGATTTTTCAACCAGTCACTAGTTGCCCGCCAACTGTATGGCACGTTCCGCTATAATAAATATATTAGTAAAAGATTTCATCTTTCATTATGGTCACCAATAGGCACCCATATGGAGTCAGCACCTAAAAAATATTAAAGACATTTATGGTAGTAAACTGTTTCAAAATTAACTAGCGTTTTTAAATAATAGAAATAAACGAGTGTAAGCTGGTATTCAATTTTTTACAACTAACAGATCATTGCGGTTTGCTAATTACTGTTACTTACTTTGTTATGTGATAAGTGAATTATTACGACTTTCACATGTTATTTCCTCGAAATCAGATAACAAATCCATCATTTGATTTATTTCAGAAATATGTGCATCAGAAGGAAGCGGCGAATCTGTAAAAAAAAACAATCTAATTTATTATTTTAGCTTTTTTCTAAAAGTATACTGTTGTATGTTAATTTTCATATCAAAGTAAAATATCGTAAGTGTAGCATAAGATAGATTTATCAAAAGTAACTCCGATGTGAAATATCGTAAGTACAAAATACTATTAATTTAAAAATATTTAAATGCAAAGTAGACTATAGTAAGTTCTACCTACGATATTTTACTGCGGGTATTGCACGGTACTATACGTAACAGTTATTTTATATTTATTTCTTGTTTTTTTTTTTAGTATTAAAACTTAATATTTACCTTCTTTCCGAATAGAATCATCAACCATAGGTTCGTAGCAACGCACACAATCATCGAGATTTGAATTACCACCATATTTTGCGAATCAGACACAACGTCCTTAACGACCGCATCAATCATTCGTTTCGACCTAGATGACCTACTTGAATATTATAGATGTCACTGCACACAAAATACAAAAATAAATGCTAGTTTTTTAAATAATGTCGTCAACGGCAGCAGGCGTGCTTCGCCCCCGCGTAATCTGTCGCTACTGCTAGTTACTACACACACGCCGCGGCTCGCGATCCCCCCGCCCCCACGTACAGTGTGGGTACTACACCATACGATACGTTTCTTCGATCTAAATGAACATACGATAAATTACAGTCTTAATATCTCCGGTAACATTGTAAATACAAATATTTTTTATAGTTTATATGACTTAGGGTGTTATTAAGTATTCAAAAATATATAAAAGTAATTTTCGCATATTTGTTGGTTACGATATTATACGTAGGAGGTATCGATATATATATATATATATATATATATATATATATTTTTTTTTCAAGAATTGCTCGTTTAAAGGTATAGGATTTAGTTAGTTAATCCAGTACAGAAATATAAATATATAAAAATAAAATTGTTTATTAACAATCTTCTATTTACGAATTCCTTGACTAATATCTCCTGAGCTAGAAATTGAATAGAATGAAGACATTTTCATTGTATAAAGGTTAGTAACCGTCAGATTTATCGGGTTTTCAATCGGAAATATATAGAACCGAGTCATTTCAATGTAACAGACTAGTTCTAAAGTAAAAAAATGAGGGTACTGCATTGAAGTAATATGATGTACTACGTACTAGAAGAGAGATGCCGAGACATAGTTGTTTACAACATGCATTAAAGCCCTCAAACTCACTCTGTGCTACAAAAAAGGTACTGTATGTTTCCGACCACGTGTCTGGCACTGCTGCACAGATTTTAATTAAATAGAAAACTGTGATGTCTGATTTGAAACACAGTGATTCTACCGAAAAATGTTAGAAGTTGACCCATAACTCAAATAATATATACAAATCTAAGCTATCACCGTGAAACGTGATTCCACGTGACCGAAGGTGAAAAAAAACATCGTAAGGAAACCTGCATATCAGATATATAAAAAGAATATACTCCGATGTGATTGTTGTCAAAGAAAAATACATACACTTATAATTCTTTAATACCACCTGCGCAGTTGATAATTAACTGATTACCGATTGCGGTATACGAAATTTTTCAAATATTTCGTAACAAATACACTTTACCTTATATCCACACAGAGGGTGAGTTGATGATGGGGCCTATAGTGCAGACGGTGTGCTCGTTTGTCACCCATTTCTCGTCTTCTTTCTTATCCTCTTCTACCTGTTGTTTTTATTACAAAAATCTTATTACTTAAGCTGTACTTACGCTAGCGATTTCGGCACAGTACATTGGCGATATGGTGAACAACATCCCAACGGAGATACCCCAGAATATTCTGCCGCCGTAAAGAAATCCCACGTTGGTAGCAGCTGTCACCAGGATCCAACCCACAAGCAGTGGGATGGCGGAACTGAGGAGACCCCATTTACGTCCAATCTTTGAAGCCGCTAAGCCACCAATGAAAGGACCTATTAGGATAAAGAAACATATGATATAGATATTGGTTTATCTTAAATTTATTGGATTTTAAACGTTCAATCGCAGTTATTGTTAAAAGACGGTACGTTACACTTTTCTACTTTTAGGAATCCGTAAAGCACCCGATATGTCAGGAATTAAAAAGTTGAATTGAACGCAATGAAATCCGTAAAGTTAGCTTCATTTAATTCAAGTCAATGCATTTAAACGATAGGGTCATTGATGGCATATATTAAAATACACGCAAAATCCCTCATCAAGACCTATTGAATAGTTTTCATTGGCCGAAGATCATAAACAAATAAACAGCACAAGTAAACGGAAAATCCGTAATTTATGGTTACATCATAATAAAAATATTTTTTTCGGTTAATGGCCCTAGCCAATTTTTTCAACAAAAGCATTCATAACGGAAGACCATGTTTGCGTAGAATATATGAACATAAGGAGGCGAGAAAAGTGTGTCAGGATCGTGTCAAATAGAAGTCCATAGTCTCTGCCTACCACTCTGAGTGACAGCCGTGAGTGTATATTCGTGTAATATAGGAAAATTACATTTGCAGTTATAGCACGGTCCGTGATGTAGACCGATATATTGGAGACCGATTATTAGAGTAGCTACTGTCTATGTACCTTCCAAAGCATGCCACAGACCTACTCTCACCTGTATGCTCGTAAGGCGACTTTATTCGATTCGCCGGTTGGCTCGCGACGTAAAATGGCGGCAATTGCAAATTTTTTGCTAACTTGCAAATTTTGCAATATTTTCACTTTGAGACAATATTTATTGATAAAACTTACAGGGATTCTTATTGAATGTATAAACTATCGAATAAAATTATTTTTAGTTGCTAGAAACTGTAATAAAATTCATAAATTACGCTTTATAACATAGTAGTAGTAGATACTTCACTTTTAGTCTAAAATTACTACTAATTTGAATTCTACATGTTTGTTTTTGGAGAAATCTATATGAAAATGTTTGGAAATAAGTATATTTTTATGTTTTATGTGTTTCTATTCGTTACTCATACCAAAATATTTAAAAAAAAAAAACGAAATTAATTTTTATCTGTATGAGATTTCCGAATAATATTTCAAATATTTTTTGTGTGAATTTGAAATAAATACAACGTCAAGTTATTAGAAATATGTTATAAAACTATTATTTAGTTACATTTTATACTAAAAATTAATGAGAATTGTAAAAATAACACATTTTTGACCCAACCGCTAAAATGGGCCTTCCCGATTTCGAAGTACATTTGGCATTTACTTTTCAATTTTTATGCCACAAATTATATATCTACGTGTTTGTTTTATTACAAGGAATATACAAAAGTATAAAACTCACCTTTTTATTCCAAAAACACACAGAAAAACGGAGAAATCACTCAGAAATAACTCACGCACTACCACGCACTACTGTTGTAAAAAGCCATTACGTCAGAATGATTTTTATGTTTATTTTTAGAATCAAAATTGACAGATTATAGTACCAAATTAAAGAGTATGTCTTTGTCTATGTCTGCATTATACATTTCAGTATAAATTTGTTATAATTTTTAATGACAAACCTTTTTTGTCTGGTTTGCCCTCATAAATTATGAGTAGTACTAATGTGTATCCTTGTCGAGCGGGCGGAGGGCGTTGTGTTAGTCATATTTGTACCACTGTCGAGCTAACAGGAAGACTTATAGAGAGATTAATCCGCTGCGATATTCTAATACGCGTTGGCGGACTTCACATGTCCTCAAAGCAGTTTATAGCCGGCCACAGTCGCTTCTTATTTTTATTACGGTTATTTCCCGTTTTAATTTTACGTCGTCGTGTTGCGTAATTTGTATTCTGATCGTAAGTGACACAGCTTCTCCATTAAAAAGCCGAAGCGAGACTAACCGGGCGGCAGAAAACAAGCTACAAGAAAATAATGACAATTTAAAAAAATAAAAAACATAAGCCCTGCTTTATAGTTAGTTCAGTTAGTATACAGGATGTTAGTTAAACACCGTTATGCTTGAAACCAGTATTTTGGTTTCACTTATAGAACGTAAATACAATGAATTAAAAAAACGCTATTTTCTTTCATAAAATTTAAAAAGTTTCTGTCCGAAACCGTCCGTAAATTCATGGATATCCTATGCGTCCGAGTGACGTAATCACTGTAACGATCACCACCCGCGCTAGCTACCTACATTACATTCCGATAAAAACACAATAGGTACACATAACCTGTGATGTAACTTTTCCTTCTTACTTTCATCCTCGCTTAGGACAGCCAAAAATTGAGGAATTAAGGAAAAATTTAGATTTTATTAAAAAAATGTCATTATTTTTCATTGAATTTACGTTCTATAAGTGAAATTAAACCACTGGTTTCAAGGATAACGGTGTTTACACTAACACCCTATATAAGTTCGTTTTATAAAAGAGGAGGAATGAGCATGCGGCTCGCCTAATGGTAAGTGACCGTCGCCCAAGGACAACCACAACGCCAGAGGAGTTGCAGTTGCATTGCCAACCTTTCAAAAAAGATTAGGTTCTTTTCTTGATGGTACTTAAGTATATAACCGTAGTTGGCATATACCTATACCAAAATGTCAGGTTCCTTGTTAAAAAAAAGAATAGAAATTATTTACCAAATATAGCTCCGACGGGCAGGAGGGAGCCCACCCAGGCAGACTCATCTGTGGTCAATGGCGCTGGTAGTGGAGAGTCTGTCAGATTTTTGTCTTGCATCTTGATATTAATTGGGGAGGTCCATCCCATACAATAACCAATGGAGGCGATCGCGATGTTCGCTGGAAGAGAAAACGTAGATTAAAAAAAAAGCGGAAAATTGTCCTGGAAAAGTAGCCGATGAAGCAGTAAAAACAACTGTAACTTGAAATGATTTGGTTTCGGCTATCAACTGTCGGAAGTTTTTTTTACTTACTTAAAACAAACGAAAACAGTTTTAACGTGGTAAATTGGATTACATAATTAACCGTGTAGTGGCAATGTAAGAAAATTCACTACTCCATATCATCCTATAGGTGTCGTAAGAGGCGCCAGAAAGAAAGAAAATAAAGAAATAAAGAAAGAGATGTTTATTTGGCCATTTCTTAACAAATTAGCACTAAATACTTAAAACAAACATTTTGTGTAGGTAATCTTATAACTGGACTTATATACACACTTACAATGAAAAATAAATCGTTTTGACAAAGCAGATGGGTACAAAATACATATAACAAAGTATATACCTAACTAAAAAACCTTTTTTTATGGGAAATGGTCCAAATAGGACTATCAGTCAGGAAACGCTAAGATGTGTCATCCTAGCCCTGATTTTCAGTGGCAAACTTAGAGAGGAACAAACTTACAGAGAGGAACAAATCCGAAGATCGGAAGCAGCACCTATCTAATAATAAGTAAAAAATAAATAACGGCGGTTGCCATAACGTCAAACAAGTGTGGCAACTATGGCAAGTTTACCAAGTGGTATATGGGAGGCCTATGTTCAGCAGTGGCTATAATGAATAGATGGATGGATCATTAGTATATAATTTATCCAATTTTTATTAATGCTAATTAGGGGTTGGTAGACCAATACACTGGGGTGGACACAGGATAACTCTAGGATGCGCAGTGCACACGGAATGCCTAGTACACCCTACGAACGCGTCAACAGATCCGTAGCGTAGTGGTTTAGCAATAAGTTGAGGCGCGGAGGGCTCGAAACTCGAATTCCACCCGGAACCAGTGTTTGTATTAAATTTATTAATGAATCAGCTGTGCCCGCGACTTCGTTCGCGTGAAATTGGTACTTTTGCTATTTTATGCGAGTGTGATTTATTTGTAAATTAAACCGTCGTTAAGACTTAAAAAGACACTAATCTGAAAAAAAAACATTCAGTTAGTTGGCCGATCAGACAGTAAAATAAATAAATGGACCTACAAACGAACCGAGAAACAAATAGGGAAAACTGTACTTGTGTTTTATTTTGTAAATAAACAACAAAATAACCGCAATAACGTAATCCTTGATTTGCTCCCGAATTTCTCTAGCCAATACTTGGTTTACATACAAAAAATAAGATTGCCCTAAATAAGCAGGCACCATCACTAATTATTTATATTAAATAAAAAATTTGAAATGAAAACTACAATCCAATGCTTACCTAAAACCAAGTACCTACACTAACAAAATAATGAAATTGCGTAAGTATCTACATATATTTTGCCTCATCCTGCAAATAAATAAAAAACAAAATAAGCTCATCCAAGGAAAGTTTTTTGACCTTTAAGTAATAGGTGTCATCGAACTTGAAATCAGGTGGATTTTCTATCAAGAAATTCTCAGTAGCAGCCCGGAGTCAAGGGTTTAGCAGTGTTTCATCTCTATGCCTCGGAAAGCACGTAAAGCCGTTTTATCTGTATCTGATCTCACAATATTTTTTCGGATCACTAATTCGGGTACAAGGATAAATAGACAATTTTTTATAATTTGTAGATATATAATGACCTTGTTGATGATGATATGATGATATTATTCATAATTTCGTTTTACGGTGTTCCCCACCACCATGCAATTGAAAACCATTTTTCTGCGCAAAAAATTTATTCTGGTTTTAACACTTTAATGTGAGATATTAAGAAAATAAAAAATAACTAATTGCTTTACTTTAAGATTTAAGTATTCGTTTAAGTTACAATAATAACAACCATTTACCTATACCAATATGAAATCACCTTGTAAAAAAAAAAAACATTCTTAAAACTTTATTTTACTATCTAAGTATTTTAGTTTTTCAAGACTTCTTTCTTAGTGTATGCTTACTTAGTAAAAGGAAGTTATTGTTCCATTTTCACGCATCTACATCTAGCTGCTTGAGCTAGATGTAGATTTAATACAATATTTTTCATACAAAATTTAAACCCTTGTTTTAAAACCGTAAGAGGCAAATTTTATTATTTTATTACTTTAAAGCATTAAATAATTTTTCTCCCTTCAAATTGTACATTATCTACCTCCTTCTCCCTCCCCCGGTAAGAGGTTGTTTTAAGAAAAAACAAAATATTTTATTTCCATACAAAATTGCATACCCTCTGCCCCTGTGCCCTCTACCGTAACGGGTTATTTTGAAATCGTAAAATGCGTATTAATTTTTTTTTAATACGGTACTCTCAGTAAGTATCGAGTCAATCACCCTGTAAAATATTTTTGTAAAAAAATATTAAACTGTAACATCCTCATTTCCTAATGTTCTATTAAGTACCTACAGTGCAAATTATAGATTACTATTTCAAGCGGCTTAGGTAGTCATTCAGTGTAGTTTAGTATTTATGACTCAGAATAAAAAGAGTATATTATAGTAGACAGACGGTAAACAGTGACATATGTCGGTAAAAGGCAATACTAACTTTACGGCAAATTAAATTTTATTCCGTTCATTTTAACCATGTTAAATATAAATTAAATTTTACAAATAATATTTGCTAATGAAATTAAAAAAAAAACTTATAATATAAAATAAGAATTTTATCTAATTTTAAGTACCTGTTAACAAAGCGAATAAAATCATAAATTAATAAAATACACTTTATTACTAATTCAAAATTTTTAAACTAAAGAGAACAAATGCATCAGAACGGCACTATGGACTCTTCCCCGTTCCAAGAAGTATGAGATATTGAGTACATTGAATGCCTACAATGATATCATTTTTTATTTATACATTTCATTGAATGCATGTACTCAGCCGTGGACCATCTTATATTGGCTGTATATTATAATATATAACCCACTTCTTCGGTTCCATAATCGCGTAAAACGTGCATGATAGACCGTGGAAACTATGCCAAACAAAGAGTTATATAATCAGATAAATCAATAATGCTAAATATGAGGCAATCAGTGGGGAGGCCTATGCTCAGCAGTGGACTTTAAAATGCTGTAACGGTTATTGGATAAAACGAAGAAACATATTTGCTGCTCCAATACAAACATTGCGTTGAAAGCACTAAGCAAAGTAATTATTGGCATATTATGCGTCTTTCATATCTCGTTATTAATGAAACCTTATGGTGCTTGAAGATACTTATAGCGACATATATATAAAATTATAGTAGTTAATTTATTATTACAGTAAAATAAAAATTATATGATATTTAGAAAAGAACGGGTAGGAATAATATTAAAAAAACTCAAAATCGGGTAACGTTATTTTTCAATTTCACGACAATGTAAATTTTAAAACTTTTGGAAATACTATCTCATTATTTATTTATATATTAATTCAGCCAAGGTCTTGACTACCCAAACATCTGCTCCTATTGCGCAGCATAATGATTTGACATGCGATTTGAAACCAATTCCAAGTAATTTAAATTAGAAAATGAGACAATAGACGAATTCTCCAGCAGCTATAATAATTTAGATAATTGAGAATGTAGCTTACAAATTTTTGGTAATTGCAATTGTATGATTCTACAAAATGATAATAAAATTGTTTACACCTGGTGTATCAAAATATACAAGGCATGATAGGCAAAGAGCCAAAATATAATTGTTCTTAAATATAAAAAATATTCAAATTATATGTATTATTAACATTGGTTAAAATCATATAAATTAATGTTTAACGTCAGTAATCACCAAGTGGCCAGTTATTTCAATAGAGAAACGGTTTTCAGAGGTGGCTACTTATTTTTAGCTAGTAAATTATTATCATGTAAAGAACGTAAAGATATTGTAAGCTTTTCTGTTGAGGAAACTGTAGAAATGGCATGTATTGAGTTGAGAGACCTCCATGTTACATATACGATACTTTTAAAAAAATATGGAGAAAATTTTTGTTTTGCTTAATAAACAGAGTAAATGTGTTGTAATATGTGAGACTTTAATTTCAATCTCCTAGAAGCTTTCTTTATCAATATTAAATTTAGATCACTGTTTAAATCATACGGACTTCATAATTAATTTTTGGAGTTAACGCGTATTGCTGAATCTAGTGCAAAATGTATAGATAACAATTTAATAAAGTTGTTTTACAAATTTTCAGCCTTTCCATAAACTTATAATTCAAAAATTGAGCTCTGATCACTATGGACAATTAGTTCACAAAAACAAAGTACATGAAAAGTTGTGTTTGTTCCAGTTAATACACGTCGCTTGGAGAAGTTTAGAAGTAACATAGTAAAAAAAACTTCCATCCCTTACATACAAAAACAATCCAGTTTTTTTGCATGGTATATTATTTAAGCTTTTTAGCAGTAAATTTGATAATAGTTTTACAGACGTTCTCCTTGAACAATCGCAAGGCATTTAATGAATGGATGACTGTAGCAGTCCATAAGAGTAGACAAAGGTTATATTAACTTTACAATGGAAGATCATATAATTCTATCGTCGAATTTAGGGAATATGTAAAAAATATATTCAAAAATATTTAAAAGATTGTTCTACATATTCAAACCTTCGTATTTGACAACAAAATAAACGGTTTCTAATAAAATTGAAATGACGTGGAGTATATTTCGTATTGAAATTGGTAAGGTTAACTCTTGAAATTTATACTAACAGATAAGTTTTAACAACAATTAAACTAAATCAGAAAGTCTTGTTGCAATGGTTTTTTAGAAATATTTTACTGATATTCCGATCTTAATCACTATGTCACTGAACTCATCTTCTGCCGTCGCCGAATCAATTTTTTTTTTAAATTTCATAAACTTTTATAATATTGTAAAATATTTTAAAACTATTAATATTAAGAAAACTGCAGATCTGAGGGGGGGATTTCCGAAGTTCAACCGT